GATAGAGCATGAAGAAGTGGAAGGTTAAAACTGTTCATAGGTGGTTCAAAGCACAACCTTGCTTCGCCCGGATTCGACTATTGTTAGAAGGACAAGCGAGCACGGCAGTGGGGAAAGACAAGAGCATGCGAACAGTGAAATATGCTAGCATGACGGAGGTCAGCATCTGGAGGGCCACACCGACGCTTGTAATCGTCGGGAAAATCAGAGGCACAATGGGCTCGCCAAAGTCGCGGCTACTCCAGTCGCAATTGTGCAGGGGGGGGTGGACAGTCGAGCTAACGCAGCTGAGGAGAGCGATCAAACCCCAAATTTCTCAACCGAAACAACAGGAGCGGTGGGAGGAGGAACGGGGGAGATAGATACGGTGGAAAAAGGTGATTGCAACAAGGGACTCTTTGGCGACACCGGTCAGGGCGAACGAAATAATCTTACAAACGCACAGCAGCAACTTACAAGTGGGGGAGAGGCTGCCCTGGTTGGGTCCGAGGGCCAACTGTGTACAATGCGGGAAGCTTGAAACACTCAACCATTGTCTCTTCAGCTGCCCGAGAATACAGTTACAGTTTGTCACTACAGAGGTGTAGAGAACAGTCCAGCGGATGAACTCAGACATGGCGGCGAGGTCGGTTGGAGACCTACTGTTCCAAGACACATGCAAGTGCGGGAAGCGTGGGAAAGGAGCCAGTGACGTGAAGAACCAGTCCTTCCGTAAGCACGCTGGCTCACAGAAGCACAAGCTGGCGATGGCAAAAGGTGGCAGATGCAGTAGTGGTAGGAGATGCTGCATTTTATAGCAATGATGATCCACTTGCATGAGTAGAGTAGATAATGCACGTCGCATGGATGTATTGTATTGTGCCTTACAGTACTGCATTAACCAAGGCCAACAACACACCCTGAATCAGAGTTCTCACTGGTGCAAACCCTGAATGATCAGACTTTTTAATTTTGGTTTGACCCTCAAATTTCAGCCTTTTTTTTTGTACCAACTCTGATTGATCAGACTAATAACGTGTACCAAGTCTGATGAATCAGACAGCCCAAGAACGAATCTGAGGGCCTGTAAGGGAGGGTAGTATGTAAGCAGGAACTGCAAATCACGGACTGTTATAAATTCAGCACACTGCAGATTCAAACACTTGGAAAAAACTTCATATTATTGATCACCGGTACTCTACACATATCATCTTCCGAACAGACTGAACCTTTGCAATACAGAAATAGCTAGCAACTTGTGAGCATCTAGTCGAGCCTCGGCAATTTTAGCACTCCACAGAAGTGTCCCTGCACAAAAGGAAGAAACAACAACCACGAAAATACTTAAAACGTGAAGGCGCAGTGGTTTTCTAGCTAGAGTCATTGCTCCGCCCACTTCACCACACCAACGCAATGTCTACGCAGAGTTTCTCACATCTGCGTAACTCTCTGCAGAATTTCTCACATTTGTGCATACGGCAAAGCAGATTGGCTTGAAGCAGCTGCTTGCAACCTGAATCAATGCATTCCAAACCTGCATGTGCAATTCACGACGAGAAATATGAAGCAGTAAGCTGCTAGCTGTATCCATCTAGTACAATATACAAAATGAACAGTGTGGCGCATGATTGGATTGCTACTTACCTTGCAATAGCATAAGGGACACTGCTCCTTCGTATCATGAGGATGTGCGGAGAGGTCGTGATAGAGCCTGCAAAATTGGTAAAATCTTGCTTCGTCAGAAGTCAACAGCTGACAAGCGAGGAAGGGAGAGGGTATTGTCCAAAGAAACAAGGCAGGTTTGAGTTTGCACCTGGTGAACATTAAGGCAGGAATGTGGGACGGCAAAGGGGGAAAGGGAAGGATAGAAAGTCAAGAAAGGCCGTGCCAAAGAGGGGGTGAGGGAGGTGCAAGGAAGAGTGAGTCTGTTGATTAAGCACCTGGTGTGTGTGAAGGCAGAAACGTAGCCACGGCAAACGGACAGACCCCACCAATTGACAGGTGGCTTAAGCAGAACAAACGACACTCCTGCCACCTCCGCAGCTCGAGAGAACCAGTTAGCAGGGGGATGACAGGCAGTTTCAGAGTGACAGTCAGCAGGGGGAAGACAGTCAGTTTGGGAGTGGCAGTCAGTTGGAGCGTGATAATCAGCTGCTGGAGCACCAGAGGCAGCACAAGCTCTCAACAGGCTCGGCCGAAAGAGCTGGTCTGCGCTGAGCGTAACATTATTCGAGAAGCTTTCGTCTAGACGGCCGAACAGACCCAAAAACCGCCTGTTCAGCATGTAATGTGTCCTCACTCTCTTCATTGCTTTCCGCCCTTCTCCCTGCAGAAACCATGCGTTGCCCATGACGGTGACTCCCTCAGCCACATGCAGCTGACGTACTAGTTCCCTCTCTCCATTGCCCCTGGGTTTGTCTGCACATCCAGCTGCTGCTACTGTGACCAACTGTCCAACGGTATCTACATTTGGTAGATAATGCCTGGGAACTAGGGTTCTCTGGTTGATGCCTCCACGTGCTACTGCTACAACTGGTGCTGTGGTCTGTCGTGCTGCTTCAGACACCGTACCTCTCTCTTGTGCCTCTGCTGCTGCTGCTGCAGCTTCTGCTTCTTCTGTAGCTACTATTGCTGCTGCTACTGCTGCTACTGCTGTTGCTTCTGTACTTAGCAGAAAACCCCCAGCTATCCGCAGCCCTCCCTTGAAAGCTTCGCGAGCAGCACGAGAAACACAGAGAACCTTTTTCCTGGCAGAATGGCAAGCACAACGACAGCCATTCCCGGCACAGCGGCAAAGAAACCGAGAGCCCTTGACTCTTAGATACATTGGGATCAACAGAAGAACGAGCCCTACCAATGCAGCCTTGGCCACAGTGCGGTAGCTCCACTTTTGAGAGACCTTGAAAGCCCACCCCACCGCAGTCACCACACGCTTGCACATGCTTGACAACGTCATGAGGGGTCCCACGTCAGCAGCAGCAACTGTGTCAGCTTCGATTTCTTCTCGCGTTTCAGCTTCGATTTCATCTCGCGTTTCAGCTTCGATTTCATCTCGCGTTTCAGCTTCGATTTCGAGTCGGGTTTCAGCTTTGATGAAATTCTCTGGTGGGACCGCCGGGGCTGGCTGAGCACGTCGGCGTAGTAGGTGCCGTTGCCGTCCTGACGGCCAAAGATACAGATCCATGATGTCTGGAGAGGCCAGGCTGAAGGGTACCTCGAGAATACCGGGAGAGTAGCTGAGAAGCCGCGGAGAAATTGCCTCGACAGGACCTACCAGTGCTTCGATTCCCGGGACCAGTGGGCGATCTCTCTTACAGGCAGCACACACGTGAGAAAAGCAGCAACTGTTGCTCTCAGTTGCAGTAAAAGATCGTTCCTGTGTCGAGATCTTATTGGTTGGATCAATCTGTAAATGACTAGACCTGTGATGTTCCCGTATGCGGATGTGGCAGTAGCGAGGCCAGAGGTGGGAAATTGATATCCGGTGCAGGTGCTTGCAGGTGATGGCTAGGTTGGCAATGGTGACTGGAAGATGATGGCATGTCATACTCGTTATAGACGCAAGGATTTCGGGAGTCAGATCCAGCAACCCGGTAAGCCGCTCTTTAGTAGCAGCCGTGTTGTTCTCCATTCATGCACCTTAGGAAAGCCAGAGAGATGAAGTAGAACTGGGCGGGTTACCTGATTCTCACACTCCTCTGTCCGTGTGCTAGAAGCATCATACGCCATTCATCTCGGAAAATGAAGTAGGCAAAAACGGCGAAGGGCTTCCTGATGACTATCCTGATTCAGGGATTATTGGCTATAGGTTTTAACGCTTCTGGGCGATGTCACATACGGTATGAATGGGTAGTCAGCTTCGAATCAATATTTGAATCCTTTCGTGATGTCTCGCAACGGTGCCTTTCGATCATAAATTGTTTAGGTCTGCCTGTCTTTGGCTGAAATTAGGAGACTTTTGACCATTGCGATCGAAAACTCGCTGGGACTAATCTCCAGAGTGGACTCAGCGGGTCGACACAGAACTCAACGATTTGTTGACCTAGCCGTTGAGAGTTGAGACGAGAGAGTGTGAAAGCAAAGGATCGAGAAGCTGGATTGACTCCCGAGAGCAATGCGAAATCGAGCGACACATCTAAACTCACGCGGCACACAGCAACTCGTGGAGAAAGCAGGCATGCTTGCGGGTGAAACCTGTAAACTTGCGCGACTGGTAGCGACCGGTTGGAGCAGGAAACTTTTGACTATTTGGTTGTGACTAGAGGGTGACAGCATAGGGACTAGACTTCCAAACACCAGTGGTACGGAATTCTGGTTTAGGGGACTTTGACACAGTAGTAAGTGAAGCGAAGAATTGACTGGAGAAGAAGCGCCGAGAAACACTCGATATAGATGCGAATGCGAATCAAATGCTAAAAGTCGCACAGTAACAAACTTATATGTACGTACTTACTCTACTTCTATGCAAAACAAACTTCACTGTAGATGGTACAGGACTATCTTGACAATCTAATCCATGGCACAGCATCTTCACTGTATGATCAGCAATTCAGAGGGTGCACGTGTACTTACGGTAACATGGCTCATGTTGAAAGAATGAATGCAAACAATAGTGAGACAGCCCCTATACTATAGAACAGGTACCCTATGGTTCCCAAGAGTTCCCCTCGTGCCATTCACTGCACAACTGCTTTGCTTTGATGGCTGATGGCTTAATGTTGTTCCCAACAGGCGACGGCATGGCCAATTTCACTCTCAGCTTCAAAGTCTCTGCCTCCACCTCCTCAACCCTATCCCGTATGCTGTATACCTGCTGGGATCTTTGAAAGCTCATTTCACAACCCCAAGCTCGCTCGCCCCTTCACTGCAACTGCTTTGCTTTGATAGCCGACGGCTTGATGTTGTTCCCAGCAGGTGACGGCACGGCCCACTTCACTCTCAGCTTTGCAATCTCCGCCTTCACCTTATCCCTCTCCCTTATTCACTGCAGCTACCCTTGCTCATAGCTCTCCCCTTGCTGCTCACTGCAACTGCTTTGCTCTGATAGCCGACGGCTTTATGTTGTTCCCTGCAGGCGACGGCACAGCCCACTTTACTCTCAGCTTTGCAATCTCCGCCTTCACCTCATCCCTCTCCCTTATTGCTGCCCCAATTTGCTGCTGCGCCTCGGTCAGTGATGCTTGCATGCGCTGCTTTGCTCGCTCCAAAGCTTGAATCCTGGAAAAGGGTGAAGAAAGTGGAGGTAGAAATGCAGGGTGAAGTGGGGAGAGAAAGGGGAGTTGGGATGGAAGGAGGGAAATGATAATCTTCACCCGCTGTTTTGCTCACTCCAATGCTTGAATCCAAGTGTAGGGGCGATAACAGACAACACTTGTGGTGGAATAGGCACACTCGAAAATGTACATGCCGCTCTCGCTCACTCACTCACTCCCTCCCTCCCTCACTAACTGCTGTTGCTCCCACTCGGTGCTGCTGCTCTCACCTGTTTCGTGCCTCAAAGACATTGGACGACTCAGATTGCAGCTTGGCTCTCAAATCAGCGATCTGGATGGATTGAAATGGAAAGTAGGGATGGGAGGGATGGAACGGGGTGTGAAGTGGTGGGATACGGTGGGGTGAGATGTCACAGGATTGCGGGTTGGCTCTCGTCTCAGCGACCTTGATGGAGTGAGTTGGGAAGCAGGGACGGGAGGAAATGGGACGGGGTGTGGAGAGAGGAGGTGTGGGATGGGCCGGGGGGTGCAATGCGGTGGGCGGGATTTCGGGTTGAGCCCCCAAATCAGTGACCTGGATGGAGTGAAATGGGAAGCAGGGAGGTGTGGATATGAGAGGGGTGGGGGGGGGTGCAGTGGGATGGGATTGGATTAGGATGAAATGGCAGTGACGTGTTTTAAACAGGAACAAATACTTGACAGCCAGCACACCTCTGTATCCCTCTCCACCCCTCACTCCATCCCCCTCTGAATCACCTTCACCTGCTTCTTTTCCACCCACCCCGATCCAATCAACCCTCTCCACCCCTCGCGTTCCATTGTATCCTGCCTCGCCGCCCCTTGCTGCTACACCAAGCCTTTCACAGCCAGTCCACGAAAGTCAATCCAAGAACAACAACCCACCTGTTTGCACCAATCCATTACTCTCTCTCTCTAATGCATCCTGCCTCGCCGCCCCTTGCTGCTACACCTCTCCTTATCCCACCAAGCCCGTAAGTCAACCCACCTGTTTGCCCCAGTCCATAACTCACTCAAACGCCTCCTGCCTCACTGCCCCTTGCTGCTCCTCTAGCTTCTTCATCTCCTCCCGTCCTCAACCACCCGCCCACCCACCCGCCACAGAAACCAGCACACCACCAAACTCACTCCAGCAAAACCCACGCAAGCCAGCCCACCTGTTTGTCCCGATCCATTACTCACTTTAATGCCTCCTGCCTCGCCGCCCCCTGCTCCTGGCTCCTCCTCCTGGCTCTAGCACCCACCCGCCAACCCGCCCAGTACCCACCCGCCCAGTACCCACCCGCCCAGTACCCACCCGCCCAGTACCCACCCGCCCAGTACCCACCCGCCTAGTACCCACCCGCCCAGTACCCACCCGCCCAGTACCCACCCGCCCGACACACAAAACCCCTTGACTGCCAACCTAGGTAAGGCAACCCACATAAGCCAGCCCACCTGTTTGTCCCGGTCCATTACTCTCTCCAATGCCTCCTGCCTCGCTGCTCCTTGCTGCTCTCCCTCCCCAACACCCTGCCCCGACAGGCCATATACACCTCTCCTTATCCCACCAAGCCCGTAAGCCAGCCCACCTGTTTGTCGCGGTCCATTACTCTCTCCAATGCCTCTTGCCTTGCCGCCCCTTGCTGCTCCTCAAGCTTCTTCATCTCCTCCTCCCTCACCGCACACACCATGTCCAGCATCCGAATGCGGTCCGAATGGTGCTGTGGATGGGGGGAAGGGGAGGGGAGAAAAAGGAGAAAAGGGGGGAGTATAGATGAGTTTGTTTCTCCTCCTCCCTCACCGCACACACCGTGTCAAGCTTCCGAACGCGGTCCGAGTGATGCTGTGGATAGGTAGGGAGGGACGGACAGTGGGAGGGAGATGGGAGGAGTGGGGAGAGGGGAGATGTAGCGACGCAGGGGGTATAGGTGGGTTACTCCTGTCCTCCCTCACCGCACACACCATGTCAAGCTTTCAAATGCGAATCGCGTGGTGCTGTGGATGGGAGAATGGGGAGGGGGAGAGAAAGGGGAGTTGGAGAAGGGGGAGAGAGGCAGGATTGTAAAGAGTGGAGTGAGATGGAGTGAGTTGGAGAGGGAAGACTTTTGAGTCGACTCAGAAGGGGGAGAGAGGCGAAATTGTAGAGAGTGGCGTGGGTTTGAGAGGGAAGGCAAGAGTGGGGTTGTGGAGAGGGGGGTATGGCTTCTCTCCTCCTCACCTTCACAGTCGCCTTGGGCCTCGTCCAGTTGCGACGACAGCTCAGCTTTTCCAGGCGCCTCAAAAGGCGGGGTGGGAAGGGAGGCTGGATGGGGTGATATGAGAGCAGGGGTTGGCTTAGGATTATCTCCTCCTCACCTTCACAGTTGCCTTGGCCTCGTCCAGTTGCGACGACAGCTCAGCAATCTGCCCCGCACGCACCGCCAGCTCCTGATTCGCCAGCGCCAGCTCAGCGCGCTTCTCCGCCACGTCACCCTCGGCCTCCGCCACCCTGGCAGCCGCCTTTGCCGCCACGTCATCCCTCTCCCTCTCCACCTCATCAACCCGCCTCTCCGCCTCTCCAATCCTCTCCCTCAACCCCTCAATCCGCCCTTCCAAAACCTCTTTTTCCTCCTCCAACCCCTTCTTACTCCCTTCCAAACCCACAACCAGGTCTTTAAGCCCCAAAATCTCCTCTCCCTTCTCACATAAAACCTTCTCTTTCGCACTTAAATTCTCATTTACTTCCGCCAATCGCCCCACCATCTCCTCTTGCAGTGCCTCCTTAGCTGTCTGCAAGCTCACCACCAAATCCTGAAGCCCCTGAATAATCTCCTGCTTCTCTCTCAGAGTACTCTCTTTCTCTCTAAGGTTCTTCTCTGCTGCACTCAATCGACTCTCCAGCTCAGCAGCCCTCTCCTCTTGCTGCTTCCCATACCTTCCCGCAAGCTCCAACTCCCCCCTTACCCTCTCCAACTCCTCTCTGGTTCCCTCCAGTTCCCTTTCGCTCTTTTCCAGATCGTTCCTTGCAGTTTCCAGGTGGCTTCTTGTGGCCTCTAGAGCTCTGATCCTGCCCTCCAGCTCACCCCTCACCCCCTCAAGCTCTCCTTTCTTCTTCTCCAACTCTTTTCTCTTCTTCTCTACCTCTCTTTTCACCGCACTCAACTCCTCGCTAACACATCTCATTTCGCCTCGCAACACCTCTGCTTCTTTTCTTGATACCTCCAGATCTCGTTCCCTTTCTTCCAATTCCTGCTTCAGCTCCTTCTCCTTCTCCTCTCCTTCCCTCTTCGTTCCATCCCTCTCTCTCTCCACTCTCACCCTCTGCTCCTCCTCTCTCTTCCTCTCCCCCTCTATTCTCCCACACTCCTCCCTCACTCTCTCTAACTCCTCCCTCACCTGTGCAACCTGCTTTTCTAGCTCTCTCTCTCCCTCCCTCACTTCCCCCAGCAGCTGCAGAAGCTCCACTTTCTCCCTTTCCTGCCCCTCCACCCGCTCTCTCAACTGCTCTGCATCGGACTCGACCTGATTCAACCGTTCCTCCAACTCGCTCCCTCTCTCCTCCCCATTCCTCACTCTCTCCTCCGCACCACCCAGTGCCGCTCTCAACCCCTCCAACTCAACCGTAGCTTGCTGCAAATCACTCGATACTCTCCCCACCTCGCTCCTCTCTTTTTGCAACTCCTTTGATACTCGCTTCAACTCCTTTGAAACTCGTTCCATCTCACACCTCTCTCGCTCCAACTCACCAGAAACCCTCTCCACTTTTCCCAACGCTTGCTCCTTCTCCTCTAAGACCCTTGCAACCTCCCCCTGAAGCTTCTCCTCCTCTCTTCTCAACACCCCCACCTCTTCGTCAAGCCTCTTCCTCTCTCCCTCCACCCTTCCCAACTCCTCTTTCATTCTCTTTCTCTCCTCTTCCCCTGCTGCTATCAACCCACACTGCCTCTCCACCTCTTCACTCACCACACCCATCCCCATCCTCGCCTCCTCTCTCTCCTCCTCAGCCCTTCTCAGCCTCCCTTCCAAACCCCTCTTCTCTGCTTCTGCTGCTGCAAGCATCTCCCTTACTGCCCCCACCTCCCCTCTCAGCTCCTCCCTTTCCCTCTCTACAGCCACCTTCCCCTCTCTAAGCACACCAGCTTCCCTCGTTATAGTCTCCTTCTCTTCCACAACACTACCCAGCCTCCCTCTCAGCTCCTCCCCCTCTCCTCTCAACCGCTCCACCTCTCCTCGTAACCTCTCCACCTCCTCCTGTGCTGCTGCAACCTCCCCTTGCACAACCCCTACCTTCTTTCTAGCTTCATCCCTCTCTTCTCTCAACCTCTCTCCCTCGCCTCTCCTACGCTCCACCTCTCCTTGTGATTCCTCAAGCTGCCCTTGAACATTCCTCAACTCTTTCCTCAGTCCCTCACCCTCTTCCCTCAACCGCTCTCCCTCTCCCCCCAGCCATTCCACCTCTCCTCCTAACCGCTCCACCTCTCCCCTCAGCCTCTCCGCCTCCTCATGCGCTGCTGCCCGGTCTGCCTGAACAGCAGCCAGGTCCTCTGTTGTGGCCGCCAGGTGCCTCGCAATCCCGCTCAGGTGCTCGTCTTTCGCGCCCACCTGCCTCTCTGTTGCCGCCAGGTGTTTTTCCAGGTCCGCCAGGTGCTCCTTCAGGGCGGCGGATTCCAACCTGGCGTCACTTAGCGCCTGCTCAGACACACTCAGAGACTCCCTTGTCCTCTCTAAAGCATCCTGCGACTCGGTATAAGCCACCTGCGCTTCACTCAAAGCTATTTGCAAGCCGGCAATATCCCTCTCCCGTTCCCTTACCTCCGCCTTTAAACCATCCGCCTCCCTCCCCCCCTTCCGCACCTGCTCTTTCAAATTCTCCACTGCTCTTTCCCTCTCTGCCGCCACTGCTTTCATCTCCCCCACCTTCCTCTCCCTCCCTTCCAATCCTCCCTTCAACTCTCTAATCTCCTCTCCCTTGCTCCTCACATCGGCCTCAAGGCCTTCAACCACCCTCTCCCTCCCTTCCTCTCTGCTCTTCAACTCACTAATCTCCTCTTCCTTCCCTCTCAACCGCGCTGCAAACCCTTCAATCGCCTCCTCTTTCTCCTTCAGTTTCCCTTCCAAAACAGCAATCTCTTTCCCCCTCCCTTCCATCCTCTCCCTCATCTCCCCTATCTCCTTTTCCTTCTCTCCCAATTGCTTTTCCATCTCAACCACCCTCCTCTCTCTCTCCTTCCCTTCTCTCTCCATCCTTCCCAACTCTCTCTCCTTCTCCCTCATCCCTTTCTTCAGCTTCCCTATCTCCTGCTGCACCTGAGAAACCACCTGAGCCTTCTGCAGAATCTCCTGGGCTTTTGTTGAAATCTCCTGAGCCCTCTGCTGCAGGGTCCCCTCCAGGTCCTTCACTCGCCTCTCCTTCTCGCCCACCCTCTCCTCCAACTCACTCTTTTGTGACTCTAACGAAAGTACTTTCTTCTGCATCTCACTTGTTTGTGACTGTAACAGAAGCACCTGCCGTTCCATCTCTCCCTTCTGTGACTGCAACAAACGCACCTCCGTCTCAGCCCCAGCAGCCCTCGTTTCAATCACACCCTTGGCTTCCTCAATCTCACGCTTCTCCCTTTCGATACAAGCACACTTCCTCTCAACCTCTTCCCTCTCTGCAGTCACAATTGCCAGTCTCTGTTCAACCGCCCATTTCCCTTCCATCACACTATCCCTCTCCCTCTCTCCCTCCCCTCTCTCCCTCACTACCTCATCCAACCTCCTCTCTAGTTCCCTCTTACTCTTCATCATCTCATCTACCCTCCTTCCTATCTCCTCCCTCTCTCTCCGAACCTCCTCTATCCACCTTTCCGTCTTCCCTTTCTCTCTCTCAAGCCCCCTCACTCTCTCCTCCAACCTCCTTTTCTCACTCACCACTCCATCCCTCTCCCTCTCCACCTCACCAACCACCTCCCTCCACCTCCTCCCCTCCTCCTCCAATTCCTTCTCCCTCACTTGCAATTCCCTCACTCTACCCTCCACCTGTCTCAACCGTTCATCACCCTCCGTCACCCTCCTCTCTGCCGCCTCCTTTCCTTCTTCAGCCCTCTTCTCTCGCCCTATGGCCTCCTCCCTTTCCTTTACAGCTCTGTCTCTCTCCTTCACTGCTCGATCTCTCTCCTCTATAGCTCTCTCCTTATCCTCTCTGATCCTATCCCTCTCTTCCACTGCTTCCTTTCGCTCTGACTCTACTCGCCTCTTCGCCCTCTCGGCCCGCTTTTTCGCCTCTTCTGCTGCTGTTTTTTCCTCCTGTGCCCGCTTCTTTGCATCTTCTGCCGCTGCCCTTTCCTCCTCTGCCCGCTGCAACCTTTCTTCTGCCCGACATCTTCCCTCCTCAGACTCTCTCCACTTCACCTCCATCTGCCTCCCCTCTCTCTCCCTCTCCTCAGCCATCTCTCTCTCCTTCTCCCTCGCCCTTTCCCTTTCCCTCTCCCTCTCCCTCTGCTGCTCTGCCCTCCCTTCCAGTTCACACTGCAAAGCCTTCAAACGCTGTAGCGAATCAGCTTTTAACAATTCCAGCTGAAGAGAGGGGGGCAAAAGGGGAGAAAAGGGGTTGAAGGGAACGAAAGTGAGACTGGAGATGCAACAAGAAAGTCTTGGAGAGAGAAACGAAAGTGGGATATTAAGGACCATTTGAGTCTCTCTCCAAGACTCTCTCTTGTTGCAAGAAAGAGTCTTTCTGGAGATATCTCGAGCGAGAGATATCTCCCCAAGACTCTCTCTAAGAGCAAGCGATGAAGACAGGATTGTCGGTGGGGAAAGAAAAATCTTTCACCCTCTCTTCCCACCCCCTCGTCCTTTCCACTTCTTAACCACTCACACTCACACCCATGCACACTCATACAAACCCATTCCAACCCATCCAAACGCATCCACACCCATCCATTCACCTCTTTCTCTAGCTCCTCGACCCTTCTCACAACAGCTGCTTCAATCCCCGCCCTCCTCCACTGGCTCGGTCCACTTCTCAGCCATCCACACCCATCTAAACTCAATCATACCCATGCACACCCATCCGCATTCATCACTCACCTCTTTCTCGAGCTCCTCCACCCTTCTCACAGCAGCTGCTTCAATCTCCGCCCTCAGAACCCTCTCCTTCTCCACACTCTCTTCCACCTTGCCTTGTCGGTCACCCCACTTCTCAACCATCAGCACACATCCAAACCCATCCGTACTGCTGCACTCACCTCGTTTTCTAGCTCCTCCACCCTTCTCACGGCAGCTGCTTCAATCTCAGCCCGCAACAGCCGCTCCTCCTCCACCCTCTCCGCCACTCGCCTGCCCACTTCTCAACCACCCACACCCATCCACATACCCATCCATAAACATCCACACTCATCCATACCCACCCATACCCCTCCCATCCACACCGCTGCACTTACCTCCCTCTCTAGCTCCTCAACCCTTCGCACGGCAGCTGCTTCAATCTCAGCCCTCAGAACCCTCTCCTCCTCCACCCTCTCCGCCACTCGCCTACTCATCTCCCCCATCGCCTCTGCTGCCTCCTCCGCGCGCTGCTGCTCCTGCTGCATCTGCGCCTGTGGGGGGGGCGGGATGGGGAAAGGGGAATGGGGAGGAAGGGAGGGGGAGGTAGGGGGAGAGAGGGAGGCAGGTTTGCCACTCGCCTGCTCATCTCCCCCATCGCATCTGCTGCCTCCTCCGACCGCTGCTGCTCCTGCTGCACCTGCGCCTGTGGGGAGGGAAAGGTGAGGAATGAGGCAGAAGGCAGGTGCGTTGATAAGGTCACTGGGGAAGGGGGTTTCCCGCGCACAGCAGTCAGCCTCCCCCATTGACTCCTCCTCCACCCTCTCCGCCACTCGCCTGCTCATCTCCCCCATCGCCTCTGCTGCTTCCGCGCGCTGCTGCTCCTGCTGCACCTGCGCCTGTGGCGAGGGTGGAGGTGGAAAAGAGAAAGGGGAGCGTTCACTTAAACATCAATCCCGAGGAGAAGGGAGGGCGAGGGGAGACTTTGAATGCTGATTCTGCTGTAGCTGACTGTGGGGTGTGAATGGAGGAAAGATAAGATCAGATCAGAGCAAGGACGGAATCTGAAACAAAATTCTGACTGCTGCAGAGCTGACTGCTGCAGAGCTGACTGCTGCAGCAACAAAATTCCTGCCCTTCCTCTTGATCGCTCTCCACACCCCCATTCAACCAGCCCTGCCAACCTACCATGGTATGTTTCAGCTCTGATTCTGCAGCAGCAACCTTCCTCCGCAACTCCTCCCCTTCCGCCCGCACCCTCCCCACCTCCCCTCTCTCCTTCTCCAATTCCCCCTGCATCCGCACAACCTCCCCCCTTAACCTCCCCACTTGCCCCTCCACTTCCCCCGCCCTCGCCCTCTCCCCCACCAGCTCTCTCTGTAACCCTTCCAGCTGTTTCTTCCCTGCTGCCAGCTCACTCCGGGCCTCGCTGAGCTGGCGCTGAGTCAGCACCAGCCGCTGCTCCGTCATCTCCAGCCACTGCGTTGCCGCCTTGTGCCGAACCTCCCCGACCCTATTCCGAGCCTCCGACTCCTTGATCCGAGCCTCCGCGTCCTTGTACCGAGCCTCAGCCTCGGCGTGCCGAGCCTCACACTCCTGCATCTCCTCTATAAGCTTAGCCATGGCGGAAGCATATCCCCCTGTCACATGCGCGCGCCCTATTCCCCCTAAGGGGCTTTTCCGCTTTCCCCCTTCCCCTCCTCCTCCTCCTGCGCCTTCCCCCTTCTCCCCTCCGCCTCCCCCTTCCGCGCCTTTCCCCCTCCCCCCTGCTTCCAGCCGCGCCTGGAAAAGCTCCCCCTGTGTTTCCGCCAGCTGCTTTCTCATCTGCTGCATCCGAGCCTGCGCAGCCTCGTGCCGAACCTCCAGCTCCCGCTGCCGAGCCTCATACTTGTTCAGGTCTGCCTTCAGATCCCTGTTCTGTGCTTCGGCCTCGCGAACCCGAGCCTCAGCGTTGGCATTCCGAGCCTGGGAGTCCTGCAGGCTTGGCAGTAGAGGGGAGAATGCATGGAAGTGTGTACTCGTTATTGCATCCTTTTTTTTTTTTTTTTTTTAATGTCAAAAGTACTGCAAAAAAACACAGTCTCCTCGTTTTCTCACCTTAAGCTCCTGAGTCAGCTTCGCAACAGCAGAGCTGTTTCCAACCGCTGCACCATCCACACTGCCGCCCACACTGCCGCCCGCAGTGCTCCCAAACCCACTCGCCAGAATGCTCGACAGACTCAGCTGCTGCTTCGCCCGCCCGCTCACAAACGCACTTTCCAGGAAGCTGCTACCCCTCATCGCTCCTAACTCCGGCAACTCCCCTTTCCCTTCCCAATCGTGTTCGCCTTTGCCGCCCGAATCGTCTCGTTGGTCCTCCTCGTCCGAGGTGTCCCCCTCACCCTCCCCTTCCCCATCCATGGCGATAGACACGAGGTCTAGAGTCATATCGTCACTCGCGTTGTCCAACTCCTTCCTTTCTCCCTCCTCTCCCCCTTTTTCTTCCCTCTCCCTTTCCCCCTCCCCGTCCCCCTCCCCCTCCATTGCTATAGCTGCAAGGTCTAGACCTCCCATTACTGCCCCTGCCCCTGCCCCTGCCGCTGCTGGTTCTGCTGCTGTTGCCCCTGCTGCTCCTCCTATTTCTGCGCCTGCCTTTACAAAATCCATGCGCCCTCCTGTTAGTACCTCTCCCCTCCCCTCACCTCCTCCTCCCTCGTCTTCTTCTCCGCCCCCTCCGCCCCCCTCCCCCCCCTCTTCCCGCTCCCCTCTCGTCTTCCTCCGCCCCCCTTCCGTCAACAGACAAACGGAAACGGTTACTGCTCGACGCTGCTCCCTCTCCTGCCGTCTCTTTGGAAAGGCGACGGTATGGACTCATGGTGAACCCTCCACTTCCTCCTCCTCCTCCTCCCTCTCCCCCATCGCCTCCCGCTCCTGCCGCAAAGTGATGGTAAGGGCTAGGAATAAACGCTCCTCCCTCTCCTCCCTCTCCTCCCGCTCCTCCCGTTCCGCCCGCTCCTGCCGCAAAGTGATGGTAAGGGCTATGAATAAACGCTCCTCCCTCTCCTCCCGTTCCGCCCGTTCGTGCCGGGAAGTAATGATAAGGACTCGCGGTAGATCCTCCGTCGGTGAAAAACGATTCTGCCGCCGAGTGCGCGTCGTCCTCCTCCATTTCCACGTCATCAATCGACGCTGCCACGTCACCGTCCACACTCCTTCGCGGCGGCTGCAGCGAATCGACTTGCGACTCCGACTTGCGGGGCTCGATCTCCGCGACTTGCGGCGAGTCATGAAGGCTCTTTTCTTCTAGATGTCGAGTCGCCTTGGTATCGCCATGGCGGCCGCGATTGCCGCTGGCAGGCGAATCGGCGACGAGGCCGTTACTTGAGTACGCTGTCGCCACGGGCGAGCTGCTTCCCGCGTGCGCTGTCGTTATTGGCGAACCGCGACCAGCATACACGCGCCGCTGCCCCATAATTGACTGCGCGAACGAGCCGCCGCCTGTGTTAGTGGGTGCTCCCACGCGAAACATTGTTGAATTAGAAAACGGCTATCTTCCTAGCGCGTATGCAAAGGAATCCAGTAGCGGGCTCGTGGTGGCAATACGCGGCACGCCGAAAGCTGAGCCCTAGATAGTTGTATGCGGTTTAAAAAACTCGTATGTTAACAGTCTGAGTAGCGTGAGGAATATGCAATCCGCTGAGAGTTAGGCCTTGAAATGAATCACGCTAAAGAACTAAGCGACTGTTGATGTGCAGATGTGCGACGTTTAGTCGAACTGTGGTCCATGCAAGGAATGCACTAACGGATAATCTGGCGTACGGCCGGTAATCGCGCCAGCAACAACACCGCTGCCGTTACACCGTACTGGCAAACGGCCATTGGAGGCTGGAGCAGCTCCAAGCGACTTGCGAGGCGACTCAAAAATTGGCTCCTAGCGGCTCTCTCTCAACTAGATGAAGGCACTGTCTTGGCGGAATGACCAGCAATGCGGCCTTCCGCGAGGTGTCACATAAGGCGTTTCTTGTGAGGGAATGACTAGCAAAACGCGAGAAACTACCTTCGATGTTCCACGGACCACGTATGAGGGAGAGAATGGGGAGAGAGGGAATGGTTTCGTACGGCTGAATTGAACATCCAAACAACAACCACATGGAAGGAGATGGGATGAGATGAGATGAGCTGGTTTGGGTGGGAGGAGAGTGCTGGGACGAGATGGATACAGCACTCGTACCAACCAAATTGTTGGTCAACGCCAATTGAAGGTTGCTTTTACGGGGCAAGCGCAGAAGGGTGTACAAGAAGAGCAAAGATAAGAAAGAAGTAGTACGAAGGGGCGATTTTCCTCGTGGAAAACAGCAAAATCGCCCCCTTTTTCCCACCGAGGGACGATATTTGTTTCGTCGAATGCAGATTGTGCTTTTCGGCTTCCCCCAACCACCACTGGCCCGCGGTCGAAGCCAGACCTGAGCTTGTTCCCAAACGTGTAGCGAAGCACCCAATCACAAGACTGCAGCCAGTAACGCGGCACCGTTAGCGCCTCGAAATGGTTTGGCAAAGCTTACGTGCTGGAGGCGAAGCTTTGCCGAACCGAGCGTTTCGGCATGAGGCAAGGTGATTGGCTGTGATCTTGCCACTTTATGGGTACCTTCGGTGTGGCGACATTCGGCTGAAGCGAAACCACGCATCGCTTCTACTCGGAGCCGAATCAGAGACCGTGAGACCTCACTTGCCACGTCATGGATCTCGTTCGGTAAAGCAGATACCCAACTTGGTTTGCAACTTGGTGCGACGATTCTGCTTCGTTTAAGCCTGCACCCTTTTAAGTCCACTATCTCCGACTTCTTTGCTGCAAACAAAGATACACCAACCCTGCCTAAAAAATATTAGTAGATTGCTCTATGTAAACATACTCGCCACATCAAAACTCGGTTTCCTGAATCACACCAACAACGCAAGCACACCAGCAACCAGCACAGTAAGCATCGAACCCGGACCAAAAAACCCTGCCGAGCCTGCTGCTTTGCCGGGCGGCGGCGGTGGAGACGAATTACCGGTACCAGCAGCACTAGGGTTACCACTTGCTGTACCGCTTGCCGGGCTACCAGGCGCGGGCGGAGACGAAGCAGCAGGGGATTCTTCAGGTGCAGGCGGGGACGAATTAGCAGGAGATTCTTCAGGTGCAGGCGGGGACGAATTAGCAGGAGATTCTTCAGGTGCAGGCGGAGACGAACCAGCAGGAGATTCTCCAGGTGCAGGCGGGGAGGAGGCGGACGGAGGGGCGGCGGCGTTTGTCTGGTTGCTGCAAAAGTCCGGAACAGTGCGGTTGAGCACTTTGAGGTATTCGGGGTGGGCAGTGGTGTCGAGGAGATTGCGGGGACAGGTGGCGGGGAGGATGAATGGGTCGCAGCAGCCGGCAGCAGCAGGAAGCGGCCTTCCTGTCATGTTCCAGCAGGCCTTGAGAAGGGGCTGGATGGGGGGGAGAGAGGGAAGAGACATATATGGAGGGGGAAGAGAACGGAGGGGACTGTAAGTGTGGGGGTAGTGGGGAGGATGAATGGGTCACGCAGTGGCCATGAGTGGCAGGGAGGGGGGCCTTCCTGTCGTGTTCCAGCAGGCCTTGAGGGTGGGCTGGAGGAGGGGAGGGCGCGAGGAAAGAGTTGAAAGGGGTAATAAAGGGTTGAAAAGGGCAATGAAGAGTTGAAAGGGGTGATAAAGGGTTGAAAAGGGCGATGAAGAGTTGAAAGGGGTAATAAAGGGTTGAAAAGGGCGATCAAGAGTTGAAAAGGGTTAAAAAAAAAGTTATTTCTTTTCAATTATTACACACTAGCTACCAACCAAGGTTTTATCCAACTCACATCCACGAAGTTGACTTGCAAGTCCTTGATGCCCACCGCGGTAGCAAACCCCTGAAAGAGCTGCCGCGTGAATGTGTCCGGGCTGTTCACAAACGAGCCTAGCGTGCCGGGGAACCCGGGGACTGGAGATGGGAGGGGGTGAAGTGGGGAGAGGAAAGAAGAGGGCGAAGGGAAACAAAACAGGACATGAGGAGATCTAGTTTTGAGGCGCCTCAAACCAAGAGGAAAGGGGGGGACGAAGGGAAAACAGGACACGAGGAGATGGTCTGTTGAAGAGCTGCTGGGTGAATGTGTCTGGGCTGTTGAGAAACGAGCCCAGCGTGCCGGGGAACCCGGGGACTGCAAGGGCGGGGGGTGGGGAGGAAGAGGAGAGAGGAGGATAAGGGAGAATGTACATGAGGAGAGAGGAGGAAGAAGGGGGAACAGGACATGAGGAGAGAGGAGGAAGACGGGGGAACAGGACATGAGGAGACGATCCCTGGAAGAGCTGCCGGGTGAATGTGTCCGGGCTGTTGACAAACGAGCCTAGCGTGCCGGGGAACCCGGAGACTGGGGAGGGGAGAAGGAGGGGAGGGAGGGGAGAGAGGAGGGAGAGTTGCAGATGAGGACACGGGAGGTGGTCTGTTGGAGAGATGCCGCGTGAATGTGTTGCAGCGTGTGTTTTTTGAGAATTCTCAAAAATCACGGGCTGTTGAGAAACGAGCCTAGCGTGCTGGGGAACCCGGGGACTGCAAGGGCGGGGGGTGGGGAGGAACGAGAGAACCCGGGGAACCCGGGGACTGCACGGTGGGCGAGAGAAGAGAGTGAGGAGAGGAGGGCGCCAAGGGAAACGAGGAGGTGAGGAGCTGGTCATTTCAAGAGTTGCTGGGACACGTTCTTGCACACCAGATGCATCGTCCCTACGAGTGTGCACACACACACACACATTCACTCAAACGAGCAAGCACTCCCCTCCCCACACACACACACCCTTTCCCCCTTCTCCCCCATCCCCAACACTCTCAACAACTGCTGCGACACGTTCTTGCAGACCAGGTGCATCGCCCCTACGAGTGTGCACCCACACACACACACACACACACACACACACACACATTCACTAAAACGAGCCAGCACCCCTCGCCCCCCCCCCCCCCCCAACACACTTTCCCCCTTCTTCCCCATCCCCAACACTCACAAGAACTGCTGCGACACGTTCTTGCACTCTGACACACCTCGCACTCACACTCACATGCTCGGGCAACCACTCTCGCAAGAACACCCTCGTTACAGTCACAGGTGGCGTCCTTCACGGCGCCGTAGAACTGCTGCGATACGTTCTTGCACACCGACACCGTGCACACCGTGGGGCTCTTTCAGTGTGCTAGACACCTTACACCCACACACCCACACACTCACACACCCACACACCCACACACCCACACACTCACACACTCACACACTCACACACCCACACACCCACACACTCACACACCCACACACCCACACACTCACACACCCACACACCCACACACTCACACACCCACACACCCACACACCCACACACTCACACACCCACACACCCACACTCTCACACTCTCACACACCCACACACCCACACACTCACACACTCACACACCCACACCCACACACCCACACACTCACACACCCACACACCCACACACCCACACACTCACACACCCACACACCCACACACCCACACTCTCACACTCTCACACACTCACACTCGCACACACCCACACGCCCACACACCCACACACTCACACTCTCACACACTCACACTCTCACACACCCACACGCCCACACGCCCACACACCCACACACTCACACACTCTCACACTCACAGGTGACATACTTCACGGCGCCGTAAAACTGCTGCGACACGTTCTTGCACACCGACTCTTTCACTGTGGTAGGGATCTGGGCTCCTTGACTGTAATTCTCAGACACTTTACAGTCATATGCTCGCACGCTCAAACCCTCGTTACACTCACAGGTGACGTCCTTCACGGCGCCATAGAACTGCTGCGATACGTTCTTGCACACCGATACAGTGGGCTTGGGGAGAAGCGCGAAGTACAATCCGCTGTCTGCTCAGGTGAGGAGGGGTTGGGAAGGGTGAGGGGGCGAGTGGGGTGATTAGCATGTTCACACCGGCACGTCTGTGCGGTGGTGAGCGGTTTGAGCCTCCTCAGATAAGGTTTCCGCGATTGCAAACAGACACGGGCGTCACTCCCTCTCCCGCGCACTCACCCGGGTTACACGTGATTCCGCATATAAACTGCTTGTTTATAACTTCTTGCACTTTCGTTCTTACATACAAACCCGGACGACACACTCTCGCGCGCTCACCCGGGTTACACGTGATCCCGCATATAAACTGCTCCAGTATGAACTGCCCCTCGGTGTAAGGCCCCGTGACGTCGCACGACTGATAGTCGGAGCCCAGGGTGGAGTCCGCCAGCTGCAGCACCAAGCTGGGCGCTACGGCCAGGAGAAGCGCCGTCGCGTTGACCGCGTTCTGGGATGACAAATAAAGGAGACAGGCCCGGGGGGTGAGAGGGGTGACGTCGCACGACTGATATAGTCAGAGCCCAGCGTGGAATCCGCCAGCTGTAGCACGAGGCTCGGCGCTACAGCCAGCAGAAGCGCCGTGGCATTGACCGCGTTCTGCGGGAAACGACCGGGGGAAGAGGAGATGGGGGAAAGGCAGGAGGGGGTAAGCGTGGAGTCCGCCAGCTGTGGAACGAGGCCGGCGCTACAGCCAGCAGCAGCGCCGTCGCGTTCACCGCGTTCTGCGGGGTTGCGGGGAAAGGGGGAGAGTGCGGGGACAAAAAGGGGGGTGAGTTGGTGAGAGTGGAGTCCGCCAACTGTAGCACGAGGCTCGGCGCTACAGCCAAGAGAAGAGCCGTCGCGTTCACGGCGTTCTGCGGGGAAAGATTGGAGGGACGGGGAAGAGGGGAAGGAGGCGCGGATGGGGGGAGGGAAAAAGGGGGATAGGGGATGAGGATGGAAAATCGCAAGCTGTAGCGCGAAGCGGCGGCGATACAGCCAGGAGCAGGTGCAGGGCGTTCATTACATCGAAAACGAATGGAAAGGGGGACGGGGTTGAGTAACACAATGCCGCCAGCTGTAGCGCTAGGCGGTCACGCTACAGCCCGGGGACGCGCCGTCGGGTTAACCACCGCGTTCTACGGAGGGAGTATGGGGGGTTGATGGGAGAATACGGAACAGTCGGCATAGTACGAGGCTGAAGCGCTAGGGTGTCGCGAGGAACGATACTGACTACTACAACTTGGGAGATTACGATAGTGGGAGTTTCTCGACGTCTTTAAACTGGGAGTTATGATAGTGGGAGATGAATGTAGTACTTTGGAGACTACCGAGACGATCTTTGAGGCGCCTCGAAAAGCGAACACTTCGGTACGATGAGATGAAAATGTAAACAAAAATAACGCATCGTACGTGATTCGACACGGTAATCGATCTTTGAGGCGCCTCAAAAAACGAATACTTCGGGCATTATGATGGTGGCGTGTATGAGATGATAATGCCTTAGAGACTAGCTACCATCTTGTACGTGATACGGCATGGTAATCGCTTTAGACTTTTCTCCTGATTGTGTCGACTTCACGGCCACCTGCTGTATCGAGAAGCCGGCCTATCTGCTGTAGCGAAATGACGGCCTACCTGCTGAGGCGAAAATATGGCCTACCTGCTGTAGCGAAATGACGAAGTCCTCGCACGAGCTACAGCACGTGTACTGGGCGGCAGACAGGCACCGAATGGGCGGCACTGTCGGCTTCACGGGCCGTGCGCCCGTCCGCGGGCAGATCGGGAACGCCGCAGCCGCTGGCGCTGCCCCCGCGGCGAGTCCCGTCACGGCGAGTCCTGCTGCATATTCCTCCGGTGCGGATGACGGTGCTAGCGCCGCATTTGCGGCATTGAAAGGTGTTAAAACCAACAAGCTGAGGGTTGCATAAGTTAAGGCTAAGAAGGCGATTCGAGCCATTAGAGAGGCCTAGTCTGGTCGCCGAGAGTACCAAAACTGACGAGACGGGACCGTGAGCGCCGCAAGATATGTTTTATTTCTAGCTTTCTTTTAGCCCTCTTTCCTGGGAACGCAATCGACGAGAACGCCTACTACGATTTGGTTCAAGAAAGCGCAGTCCGTTGGTACTGATGATCATAAAACGCTACAAATGCGCATTTCCTTAGCCTACTAGGTGTGCGCGTCTTGTAAAGCCTCTTGCGCGAACAGTGACACCTTCGACTTGAAGAAGCCGAGAATGCTTTGGACTGAGCTATGAATGCACTCCACTACTGAACGAGTACAGGATCAGGAACAGAGGCCGTGTATGCACAGCCACGAAGAGAGTGTTGTCGATGCGCTGTCAGCAACAGAGGCGCCTCGCTGGAGAAGTGAGGAACAAAAACAGAACTGCAAGCTTGGCTGTGCCGTGCTCGAGTCTCGTCTCTCTGCTGCTTCCTGTGTCTGCCACTGCTGTGGAGTGGGCACCAATCTTGGTCCGAACACCCCAGCGGAATTCGGTCGACGGACCCGAGTTGCCAGTGTCGACGAGGGGGGTCGTCGAAGCCTGGGCCGACGGGGCGGAGCACTGACGCGCGTGCGGGCCCGCCAGCCTGGCCCAGGGCTGGCCCGAGCGCACGACCGCCGCCCCGCGGCCCCGCCCCGAACGTGAACAGCGGCCCACGTTACCGGGTGGGGTCGGCGAACTGGCGACACCTCGCGCGTGGGAAAATTACCCTCGCGCGAAGGCAGCCCACGCGCGCCACCTGCCCGCGAGGTCCTAGTAACCCATCGCGGCCTGCCCGGACGGGCAGGCGAGGGCCGGGCGAAATGTCGGGGCCCCCTCGGGACGCTCGACAATTTCGCGACCCGTTGCGGCGACGCCACGTGTTCGCCCGCCTGCTTCGCATCGGGCAACATGCAGAATTTGATACATTGCGAACTCAATTCGGGACATCGCGAATTCGATGTCGATCGCTTCGCGGCGCACGTTTTTCGCTTCGGGGCGTGACATCGACTTGCTGGCTCGGCGGCGAACGAGGACTTGTGCCACTTGTGGAGGACTTGTGCCAAACCCCGCCGAGGCAGGCACCACGAGGGCCGGGCGATGCCTCGACCGTTCCTGTGGGGCACCGACCCCCTTTTCTTGGTGGAAGGGGGCATAGCTCCTCATTTTCGGCATCTCGTTTCCCTTTCCACCTTTTCCCCAGCTCTGCGCCTTCTCCCACATTTCACGTCCCTTAGCCGCTTCCCTTCCCCGCCATGTCGGCCGCCACGAAACTCGGCGAAGTGACGCCGACTTCGCAGGACTTCCCTCTGTATCTCGACCTGGGCAGTGGACTGACTGCCAAGCTCGACGAACACGACTACGCCGTCCTCGTAGACCATAGGCTAGAGTTCAACGCCCGTTGCTTGGGATTCGGCCTCAAGTGAGTGTCCGTATTGGGATGTCGACGTCGACCGCTGGATACCTTGCAGGTCGACGTCGATAGGGTTGTCCCACGTTAGGGTTTAGATCACTACTCGGTGACGCACGCAGCCGTAGGTAGGCATCGTACTCCGATCACTACAGTAGGTCGGTGCCCGCATCGGTAGGCGCCATTGATTACAACGTAGCGACGGTGGTGCACCGTTCTACTCTAGCCATCCCCGTCAGTTGTCGGTTCCAGAACCCACGTGTCCATCCGTCGTGCCGTGCACGTCCTCAAACACATCTACTACCCATGCATGCGTGCAGGTACGCATGGATTCGCGCGGCGCCGGCCAACATGCGATTGTGGTCGATAGGACTCGGCCGGCTTCGGGCGGCGATGGGCAAGGAAGACCACTCATGCTTTGCAACGGTGTTCGACGCCGACGTAGCTGTTATCCCTCTGCATTCGAGGTGAGCCTAAGTCATGATGGTGTGCCTTGATGCCTTATGTCGCTGCTCCGTTCTGATCGACGTCGTGGTGCCTAGCCTGTGCAGCATCGCACCGCTTCCAGGGGCACATTGCAGCGTCGTGGTCATCCTGTACCCCGGCGACTTGTTGCGGGCCGGGGGAGAGACGATCAGGACCTCTGTCCGGCACTTCGACCCGCAAACCGTGAAGCAGTGGCACCGCGACGAGGCGATCTGCGTGCTGAAGTGAGCTCGATAGTGTAGTCGACGACGCATGCAATTTCGCCGCTGGGCGTTAAGCAAGTCTACTGACGACCTGTGCCATGTTGCTTCAGGTTTTTCCGGGCGGCGGTGCTGGCCGAGCTCGGCCGCGATGGCCGGCACTGGGAGTGGCCGAAGCCTTCTGCTGAAGAGGTGGCGGCCAGGCTCGCCGACTTCAATGAACCCGTTCGAGATGTGAGTACCGATCGTTTTACCGTCCTAGCGCGATGCCATCGCCGCCGTCGGTGCTCATCCTTGCTCTCTCCTCTGTTGTTTGCAGAAAATGCGCGACACCGTCCGGGACGGCGACGCAGGCTCTGGCCTCCTCTCAATGAGCGCGCTGTGCTGGGTGGTGAAGAGGATGGATCGCCTGACCGGCGACGACCGTCGCAGTGCGACCAGCATGGACAAGGTCCTCGTTTCGGGGTTGAAGGAGCTGCGGATTCGGATGATGACATACATCAAGGAACACGTCGCACGCAGACGGTCAGGCCATGTCGGAGTTGGTGCCGATGCCTGTGAAGACGACGCCGCGGAGCCCCCTTCGGCATCCCAAGCAGTCGGTGTCGCCGACACAAGCGGAGAGGCCGGAGACGGCGTCGACAAGGCAGATGAGGAGGCAGAGAGGGCTGTGGCGAGGACCGCGGATCAGGAAAAGGAGGAGGAGGAGGATGACACCGACGATCAGGATGATAACGAGGAGGATCGTGAGGAGCGTGAGCAGGGGCATGGGCAGGAGGAGGAGGAGGAGGAGGAGGAGGAGGAGGAGGAGGAGGAGGAGGAGGAGGACGAGGAGGAGGAGGAGGAGGATGATGAGGAGGAGGAGGAGGACAAGGAGGCGGCGGCGGCGGAGGCCGTGGAGCAGGGTTTCGGGTCGGTGGAGCAGGTGGCGGAGGGGGAGAAGCAGCAAGAGGGGGAGGAGGAGGTAGAGTTCCCCTGGGTCGAATTCGAGATGGAGGATGTTGAGGGAGCGGCGGCGGTGGCCGTGGAGGGAGCGGCGGCGGCCGTGGAGGGAACGGGCGGGATGTCGGCGGATGTTGTGTACGTGCGAGGGGAGGGTGCCGATGTGGAGAATGTCGGCGTGGAGGAGGCGCACGTGGTCGGCAATGTGGTTGGCGACGCGAAGGAGGAGGATAACGTCGCGTCCCCGACGCCGACGGGCGTGGAGACCACCACAGGGAACGCAGGGGTGGAACGCCGGGGTGGAGCGGTAGAGGCGGGCCGTCAACCGGGTTCCTCAGCAGCTGGTCGGCAGGCAACGCCGGCCGTCGTCGCGCAGCTGCGACAGGAGAACATGTGGCTGAGGGCTGAAAATGCTCGTCTCGAGACGGCGCTCGGAGTGGAGAGGGGTCGGGTGGACAGGTTCGCGATGGGGATTGGCCACCTCGTGGACAAGCTCAGGTCGTTGGCCGACCAGGTCGCCGCCTCCGACCAGGACGCGTCGAGTCGGCTGATGGACGCGTCCTTGACCATGGCGACGACCGTGACGGAGAACATCACTGCCAACATGGGTGAAGCATGGGAGGCGATGAAGGCGTACGCCGAGAGGGCGGAGAGCTGGTTGGACGATCTAGAGAATCCGGAGGGGGTTATGGCGGTGCAACGTGCGAACGCGGTCGTCGCCCTGGGCAACCACGTGGACGAAGCGAGGAAGGGATTGGAGGAATACATATCGAAGCACCTAGTCGCCGCGCAGACCAACATCGCCGCCGCCGTAACTCAACGCGTCGCCGTCCCGCCGCCCACGCAGCCTGCCCCACCGCCAGCCTTCCCGGACGAGCTCATGAAGTCTTTCAAGGCGGACGTGTTGAAGGCGGTGACTGAGGCCACCCAGCAGTCGTTTGCTGCGTCCGGGTTAAACCTCATGACCCAGGTGATCGGCCATCTGGCGCCTGGTCGGCATGGGTCGTCGCCGTCGGACAACGAGGCCGACAAGAAGGGTGCGAAAAGGGCGGGCGGCGGAGATGATGCGTTGAGCTCGAAGCGGAGCAAGGGAGCCGATGGGAGCCGCGGCGTCGGCCAGGTGGCTCCAGGCGGCTCGCGGAGCAAGGGAGCCGATGGGAGCGGAGGTACGAGCGTGGTCGACCAGCTGAAGAAGAACGGGGCCAAGGTGATAAGGACGCACAGCAAGGGCGATGGAATCAGGAGTGCGGAGGGGGGCCCTGCCGACCAGGTTGCCGCTCAAGAGGCTGGACCAACAGCCCCGCCATTGGTCGCCGAGAAGCCGGCCAGTCTAGCGACCGCACCAACGGCGATAGATGGCGGCGCCAAAACCGTCAAAGGACCGTCCGTCGGAGTGGCGGGGACCACGTCGATCCCCCGCAAACCCCCTGCGGCTAGCAGCGCGCCGGTCGCCCCGTCAGCCGCCAACAACGATGGGCCGTCCCTTGCGGCTACTCCAGCACCAGCAGGCACGTCTGCCGCCAAGGTTGACGCGGTGGATGCTGCGGCTAACCGCGCTGGTCCGTCCGCCCCAAAGGCGAACGCGCTCAGGGAGATGCTCAGCCGCATGGAGACCCATCGACAGGACGTGCAGCAGCCTCCCGTGGTCGGCACCGCGCCGGCCACAACAGCACGTCGCTCGGTCACTCCCCAGGTCGCCGCCACAACGTCCAGTGCCCCACCTACCGCGCCTATCATCGCCGCCCGTCCTCCTGTGGACCCAAAGTCCGCGTTGCTTCGCGCCCAGTTAGGCGTACGTACTGCGGCTGCGCCGGCACGGGCTCAGCCGGTATCCAGCTCATGCGCGACGCCGACGTCGGTGACCGTAGCTGCACACACACTCGGTGCGGCTACTATCGAGGCGGTGGCGGAGAAGGGCGTGAGTGCAGCGCTAGCCACGGGCGGCAGATCAGTTGACCCTGCACAGGCGGCGAAGGACCACAACGACGCCGATATCGCTGCCATCCAGGACCTGTTGGAAGCGGTAAACCGCCCCAAGCAGCCCCCTGTGCTGGCCATCTTGGACTCGGCGAGTCCCACCGGCTGTACAGCGGAGCCAAAGACGACCACTGCTGCGGTCGGCGCGGGAAAGTCGAAACGGAAGGGGACGGTCGACGCAGGGAAAGCGAGGCCGAGCTCGAAGAAGAAAACACGGGCGACGTCGGCGATGGTGAAGTCGGTGCAGAAAGGACAGGGGATGGCGACGGCGATGGTGGAGAAGGAGAAGAAGGAGGAGGAGAAGGAGGAGGAGGAGAAGAAGGAGAAGGAGAAGGAGAAGGAGAAGGAGAAGGAGAAGGAGACGGAGGAGGAGAAGGAGAAGGAGGAGGAGGAGAAGGAGAAGGAGAAGGAGGAGGAGGAGGAGGAGAAGGTGGAGGAGGCGGAGGAGAAGAAGCTGGAGGAGGAGGAGGCGGCGACGGAGGAGGAGAAGGTGAAGGTGAAAGAACGGAAGGGTCATGGCATCCGCCACGACTCGACGGGCGACAAGCAAGGGTGGGTGGGCGAGATCAAGGTGGTCGGGAACGAGAGCAGATACATCGGCAAGTCCCGCGACAAGATGGAGCTGGCGTACCTTCACTCCATTGTGTACCTCCTGTACGACGGTTTCGTCAGCAAGATCCTCATGGCCGAGCTCACCGGCCTGGAGGAAACAGTGATGAAGCAGTGGAGGGCGGTGTGGAAGGAAGTCCGGTTCTTGCCGACTGGGATGTGGACGGTGATCTGGGCAAGGGGCGCGTTTCTCCCAAGGACACGGTAAGTCGGATAAACGTCGGCCAAGCTATGATGTCGACGTCGGCGTTCCTAACGGCCAGTTTCGTGTGATTGCGTGACAGGTTCGACGACATCCTCGGGAAGTATAGAGCGTACAAGACATCAGGCGATGCGCACCACGACGCGCTTTTGCCCGCGATCTGGTTCCCCGTCGATGCCGACGGGAAGTCGGATGCAATGATGTCGGCCATGCTTGATCGCGTGTCCTTGTGCGCGGCGTATGGGGAGGTCGCTGCATCCGCGGCGAGAATGGAGGGCGACACGGATCAGAAGACGGCGAAGGTCGCACAGGCGCTGTCGGCCTCAGCTTGCGCACTGTGGTGCTTAGTCGAGGGCGACGGCGCCCAGGTGGCTGATGCCGTCCGCGAAGGGAAGGCGGCGGCGATGTTGGTCGGCGCCAGCGAGGCTACCGCCGCCGAGTTCAAGAACGTCATGTCGGCGGTGCTGGAGGTGGCGATCAGCAGGCAGCAACCCCTTGGGGAGGTTGCGCACAACGTCGCACCGGCGCTTGAGTCCACCGCTCTGGCCAGAGCCTATCCGGGGTTGGATGTTGAACCCGAGGCCAAACTGATCGCACGAGCGACAGTGGAAACCCTCGCGTTCTGGGGGATGTGCCCCGTGGATGGGCCGAAACTCAGGAAGATCGGCATCGCGGTGCCGCTGGATGCGCAGATGGAGTACGACATCGAGCACAGGGGGAGGAAGAGGCCGAGGGGCAAGCAGGGCAAGGACAGCTCGGGGAAGAAGGGGAAGGGCAGAGCGGGCAAGGACAGCACGGCGGCGTAGTCGGCATAACAATCTGCCATGGGCGGCCGGAGGGAGCGCAAGTAGGTCTTCTTGCAAGGATGGCCTGGTATGGGCGGCGTCGATTATGTGGTTTTTTTGGGATTGTTTTTTCCGTGTGATTGTATAGTTTTCGTTGGGATTTCTTTTGTTGGCTGTAACTTTTTGGTAATGCATGTTACTAGAACACTCCTCGGCAAGGTCGACCTGATATCTACCATGTTACTCAAATGCGGGCCCCGGTTCGATGAACCCCGTCGTACGGTGTCGACATAGTGCGTCTGGCTGTATGCATGTATATACTCGGCGATGAGCATCGTCGGCTAGGCCGAGATGGTCTATGGTCGGCGCTTTGGGGAATGTGCCGCGCCGCCCAGGTGGCCGAAACTCTAGGAGGTCGGCATCGATGTGCCGTTTGACGCGCATATCGAGCGGGCATGGACAGCACGGATGCGTAGTCGGCGCGCAGAAGGAGCGCTAGGTGGTATGATTGCTCGGTTATAGCGTGATGGGCGCCGTTTGCGCCGTTTGCATGCAGTCAGCGATGTCGACATGAATAAGGCACAATGAATTGCACACACATGGTGGCGACTATGTCGGAGTCCGACATATCTGGTTCGGATGTATGTGTTGGATCTTGTATGTTCGTGTTGCATCAAAATGAACAAGTACGATGGGAACACAACGGTTTGCTAAATTAACGTATCATCAACCTACGCTAACACATATACACCGAGGATCTTCATGCCGACTTCTTGCGCTTTGACGGAGGACGCTGCGCAGGTGCGGTCTGCTTGGCCAAGTCGGCCACGGTCTTCGGCATCTGCTCCTCCCAGGTGTCTGGAAACAGGCGGTCGACCCACGTCGTCGGCTTCAGCTCGAGCGCCACCAGCGCACAGGCGAGGCGTAGCTTCGAGACCACCTTGGGGCCAAGCCCCTTGACGCCCATGCCAGGCTCCTTGGACATCGTCGGTGCCGTCACCGGGTTGAGCACCGTGAGGGCATCGCAGAAGGTACCAATGCCCGGTGCCGCGATCGTGTTCAGTGCATCGACCACGGCTTCGGTGTCGGCATCGCCGTCGCTCGCGCGTAGCTGGCGCACCGCATCCATGGCCTTCAGCATGCGGCGCACCCTCATGTTGAGTGCACCCTGGGTCGCGCCTTTGAGGAGGGTGTGGCGGTCGATGAACCCCGGCTCGGCGACCCTGTCGCAAAGACGACGGGTGTCATTGGCGGTGGCGGAGTTCCAGAGGCGCCAAGCGTCCCGCACGGTCTTTGAATCCCGCCAAGGTTGCACGACGTTGAGCTCGTAACTGGCCTCCTCTGCCGTCTGGGGGGGTGGCGGGGGTTTCCCATCATCTCTCTTGGCTCCGGTCCCCGTGTTGGCCGAATCCGCGGAGCCACCTTCGCCCGGAGTTTGATCGGTAGCCGACGTCGGCGCCGCCGGCATCCTCCGGGCTTCTGACACACGGAGTGCCTCAGTGAGTCGAGCAAGCTCGGCGGTGAGCGACGCGATGGTGTCGTTTTGCTTCTCGATCGTCTCCTGAAAGCCTAGCTTCTCGAGCGCCGAGCGCTCGACCTCCTTCTTCAGCGCCTCCTTGAGGGACATGTTGTGATACTGGGTGTCCATGCGCACGGATATTTCCTGCAATGTTGGGTGTGCGGAAAGGCGACAAGAGGTTAGAATTCACCGGCTAAAATCCAACAACGCCGACATGGTCGGCAACTCACCTCCGGTTGTATCTGAGTCGGGTCCCGGCGCTTTTTTATCGTATCGGTGTCGACCGACTCGACCCTTTTCGCCCAGTGCTGGAAGAGGGCAATCCTGCAGAGCTTGGAACCTTGGACGTACGGGTGCCACGGTGTGCGGACGAGCTTCACCGCGAGGTCCTCGGCGACGATTCGTCGGAACATCACGAGGGTGCGCAAGAAGTGCACTGCGGCTGCAGCGGCGTCGCTCCCGTTGACGGCACGCGTCTCCGCCTGCAAGTCGGAAAGTGGCGTGGGTTAGTAGGGAGTTGGGCAGCCAACTAGGCCACGACGACTGAAATACATTGTCGGCGTCGCGTGACATACATCGCGCAGCATAGCATCCACGCTGGGGAAGATGTGCTCGGCGAGCAGGTCCAGGAGTTTGTCGGAGGGCTCGACCCTGCTGCGCCCCAAGAAGTAGTCTTGCTTGAGTCCCGAGTAGCCGGCCTTCTGCATCACCACCCCAACGGGAATGGCCGTGATGTACGCACGCGTCATCTTGTCGAGAGCCCAGTGTCCCAGCTCGGCGATCTGGGCGCGCGGCGTCCCTCCGATGGCTAACTCCTGCGCACCTCCGGCGCGGGCGGCGTGCACGTTCCTTTTGCAGAACACCTTGTTGGTCGTCCACACCTGCCGAGTCCAACGTTGGTGGGTGGCGGAGGAGAGCTCCTCCTGCTCCTTGTCGTTTCTGGCGAAGAAGAGATGCTTCTTGTACCAGCGTTCGCGTTCTGTGATGTCAAGCGGCGAAAGAAAGTCGGTGCCGGAGAACTGACCGATCTGGTCGAGGATGAAGTGCAGCCACAGGCCGGTCTCGCCGACGGCGCACAGCTCCGCTTCCAGGTGTCGCGCAGCGTAGCTCTGCTGAAGACGGGCATCCTTGGAAGTCTTCGAGTTACGCGCGGCGATCACCATGACGACCGGCTGGCTATCCGGGTTCACCTCCGAGGTGCTCGCCAGGTGGTACAAGAAGATGTCGGGGAGCGTGATCTCGCGGATGCTGCCGCCGCGCAGGAGAGTGTGGTGGGAGAGTAGCGTGAGCACCTTGATGAGCAGGAATCGCCACAGCGTCTGCGACGGAGTGGTAGCCCGCGGGTTCCACGCCGCCGCCGCCCATGTCGGCAGCACCCTCATCATGATCTGGCGGAAGTGCTCGGCGGTGTAGGTATCGCCGATGGTGCCGCGTCGACGGTCGGCGCAGTTCCTGAACGCAAATCGGCGGGGAAAATCTGTTAGACTGCGTCGACTTCACAGTGCACAGTGATATATAATAAGGTTGTCGACCAACTTACTTGAGGTCCCTCTCGTTCTTGTGGCGGACGTTGAACCGCACCTCCGATCTCACCACCGAGATCTCCCTCATGAGGCCCAGCTCCTTCTCTCGGTACAGCGTCGCCTCCACCCTCGCCGCCATCTGGCATGCCTTTATCCGGCCGAGGATCGTGTGCACAGTTGTCGACCTCACAGGCCCCGTTCGCGTGGCATTGTTCTCCTCCCCGGGCTGGTCAACAATGAGGTTACACTCACGGCTCATTTGCTTCACGTAGGCGCGCAGCCGGGTTTCGGTGACCCTAGGGCCGTGCAGCCAGATGTACTGTCGGCGGACCACTTTCTCGTTGCACCAATCCTCTTTCTTGTTGTCGCGGATGTAGTGGCCGATCTCGTCGACGTGCCTAAGTCGTTGCTCATGGGGTAGCTTGTCGCGTAGCTGCTTCAGCATCTTCGCCGCCCACTTCTTGTAGTGGTAGATGAACGCGGTGTACAGCCTGAGCGTGCTATTCTTCTCCAAGCATTGTAGGTGTCGTAGGGCGTCCATTATGAGCACGTCAATGGTGGAGTACACCATGTCGTCCACTACAAAGTCCGTCGCCTTCCACCCTTCGCGCGGCACCGCCATGTGCTGATCGTCCTCCTTCTCGTCCGCGTCGAGCATGTCACGTATGTATTCAAATTCCCGCCTAAGGCGTTCTTCCAAGGTGCGCGGATTCGTGCTACGCGGAGGACGGTCGTCGACTTCGTCGTCGCTCTCTTCCTCGTCCTCCTCGTCGTTATCACCTTGGTTTTCCGAGCCGGCGGGCACCGACGAAGGTCCAGTCTGCCCATCTGCCGTCGGTGTCGACTTCTTCGTAAACTCCCCAATTGGCGGATTCGGTATGTCCTTGGTGTACTCCCCTTCGGGAATCTGAGTAAGTTTGTCAAGATCGTAAAGCAACTTCAGCGTCTCTACGGGGGCAGAGGACGGACTGTGGTCGGTTGGGGTACCAACGTCGGTCATGTCGACGTCGTCCATGACCGCTCGTATGCTCTACCGCCGGCCGTGGAAGAGGGAAAGATTGGTCAACCAGAGATGGTACTGATTCACGGGTGCGGTGTACGCCCTAATCGTCCTGCGGCTGTCTTCCTCGAATTCCCTCTCAAGTGCTTCTAACTCAGCGTCGACCTCGAGTCGTTCCAGTTGCGCTTTGATGTCGTCGTCTACCGAATCGGCGGGGGGTGGGATAAGTTGTTGTGGCTGTTGGGCACTAGCCCTTTGGCCACGCGTCGCCGACTCGGTAAGGTTGGGAGATGCTATCGTCGCCCTGATCTATCGTCGCCGACTTTCCTAGATGACGACCTAGAACCTAGTAAGGCGAAGTCGACGATGGTCGACCCCAACACCGACCTATGGCAGTCTATTCCAGGTCGTCGCCTTTGTGCCGCCGCTCGGTCGACTCGGCCGTCGAGTAACCTACACCCGCAGAGATAGCGAGGGTCCTGTGAAGAAAACGAAGTGCTAGATGGCGCACAGGAGCATGAGAGAAACACGAAGCTGAACCGGCAGAATGAGAGCGTTGTGCGTGGTCAAGGAGGGGTATGGTTGCGAGCCACTGCGCACCTGCCGCGCTCCACGCAGCCCTCTTTGCAAGCGCCGCTGTGCACGGGCATGACGTGTCACGATCGATGCATGTCTAGTGTCACGCCGCTCTGCGCTCAACGGCACTCCCGCCGGTGCCTTGCCACGGTGGAATTCACGTGCGCCACGTGCAATAGGCCAATGACCTAGTTCCACTCTCCCGAAATGCCGTAGCGTCCTGCTCTCCCGCGCAAGCCTCATCGACCTGCGAGTAGGCGCGTGGCCGGAGGCTTGGTCGACGCCGACATTCCCTGACTCTGGGGCTCTCTTCGCCGAGGTATACCATCCCAGTCGTCTTTCGCCGCGTGGACGATGGTTACCTTTTTCGTCGGCGCGCCAGGTTTCGCGCGCAGCGAAATAT